CCTAAACTTGTTACGTTATATTGCACCGTATCGTAAATACGTTTCATAATTCGTTAAATATAGGAACCATGAGTAATAGTGGATCGATCTCAGGTCAATCCATCTCGCCTTTCTATAGATTGTAGTCACACTGGTTTCGTATGAGATATTGTTGCACTGTTACTCTGATTGCTAATTGCGTGTCATAATATTAAGAACACGTGTTGAAAATATATGGAACAACGCCTAAGGTCTGTCATTTTCTTGATTTGCCCTCTGTAAGCGGGTCAAAACGCAGGCATATAGGCTAGAAATATGAAATTTTTACCATTTTCCAAAAATCGGTGTATATCTAGCCACAGAGACAGAAGCATCATTTTCTGATTTAGTGATTTTTTTCTCATAAAATTAAATAGCTTACATTTGTGTATAATATTTTCATCCATTCGGGTTGCCTGGATATGACTTTATTACAAGGCTAGTTGCACAATGTTGTTTTCTTATTCCTATTTTAAATTTTATAAATCGCAGTAAAGTAGAATTTCAAAAAAATTATTCAAGTTTGGGTAGCCAATCAATGTTAAAGTATAAAAAGCATCATTCACTTGCACTTCACTGAACTCTTATAGAATGTGTATACAATAATTTGGCGAATGTAAAAATTGCAAAAAAACTTAAGTGATATAACTTTCTCGCATGAGAGTCATTCAATGCAAATTCTTGGGAAGGTTCACATAGATTTCGAATTCTGTCTTACGCTATATTAATGACCACTTGTTCTGTTATTTACATTAAAAATTATATAACTCCATTTGTTGATTTTAAAAGGCATCCAGTTTTGAAAAAAAATATCTCAGAACAGAACTAGAAAGTGACTGCAACTTTTTCCTCAATGGGAGCGAAGTTTTAAAAATGAGTAAAATTAATAGTCGATACATAACTATGGCCCCCATATGACAATATTCAATACGTTTTTGACATAAGGGAAACGTGGACTCAAAATAGTATCGTAGTTACTATGGTAACATTGAAACCATTTATAAGATGGCTGTATGTATTACTTCGTCTCTATTATCAAAAATCTAATTATAATATAATCTATTCATATCAATCAATCAAATCAATCAAAATACATTTATTCAGCTTAGATGCGTCTTAGGGCATGCTTATGAATGTCAAAAACGTTTAAAAATTCGCGAAAGAGCAAGACGCCATCCGTTCGCAAAACTACCAGGATGCCTTGTTCTGAGAAGAACGGACAAGAAACTCAGGAAGTTTTACCCTCCCTCTACATTACAATTTTTCAAAGGAAAATGTCATAAACCACAACGTCATTAAAGTTACATAAGTAAAAAAAATAAAAATCTGTTCTGTGATTTACCACATTCACCATTACACACATATTCACAACACTTCAAAGATAACAAAACATAATATAACAATATAACTAGAACTATTGCCACGCGTTTTTGTCTTCGAAGTAGTCATATATTTGTGAACATATAATATTTTCTACGTCTGTATATAACCAATTTAAATTTATTACAGTCAATAATGTATAACTCTATTCCATCCATCAGTCAGCCCACTTCATGTGAAAGTATTCCGTGTATTAAGGAACTCTGTCCATCCGTGTTTATCAGGCGGGCCATCTGTCATTAATGAATGTAACGTGTAAAAATTATTCTTATTATGAAAGCTTTATTATTTCCATACAATAATTGTTTGGTATACTTTTCTTAGTATAAGGATGAGTTTTGTTAGTATAGGTTCTAAAAATTAAGGTTAGTTTTGTTAGTGTAGTATTGTATTTTTAGGCTAAAAGCCTCTTCCATATTTTTCATTTCTCTTTATTTTGAGCAACATTCATTTTTTCCCCGCTAGTTCTATAACGGCATTTATCCATCTTTTCTTTTGTCGTCCTATACATCTCCTTCCAGTAGGTCCAGTCCATTTTTTGCTTTTAACGTATAAAAATTATATCTTTATAATTCTTAATGAAAGTAGGTAAAACAATTTAAATATAATTTAAAAATATATTATGCTTTTTATATATTATATCTCGCGCATTGAAGTTATTTCTCTGCGCATTTTATAAGCGGTGCTTGAGACTGCATCTGTTGCTTCATTTCTATTAGTATATTCATGTTTATCCATACGTGAACTACCGGTGTTCGAACACACTACTTCAAGGTTAAGTGTCAACGCTTAAGGGTCAGCCCGATCTACGTGAGGTGGTTGGTATTTAATTTATTCTGGTTGCCTGGAAGATGGCTTATAAAAATAGAATCATAACAGGCTGTATATTGAAGTTTTCATATAACGAATAAGTATCGCAATACAGCGAGGAAATGCTGCCAGCATTAAAGGTAAGGTTTACTGCTACAGGGACCAAATTTGTTTTGATTTTCTATCTATCCAATTTTTAATTATTACTATGTTAGGTTAAGAATATTGTAAGTTTGGTAAATAAAACATCACTTATTATTTTAATAAAGTGTATCATAAAACGAAATTAAAATAATTGTACCGGTTTGACCAAAGTAATCACAAAAAGAGGCGAAGGAATACTTTACTTAAAAAATTATATGTTGTGAAATCTAATTTTTATTTAAAATTTGGTAAAATATTTATATATGTCGGTCTGTCACGGCTGGACATATCTTATAAAATATTAAGGAAATATATTAATAAGGCTTATATTATTTAGGGATAATGTTTGGAAATGGATTCTAATGGTAAAAAAAATATTGGAGTTTACTTCTTACAAACCTACAAAAATATAAAAGTTTCCTCTTTATAATTTTTGTATAGATGTCTAGATAATCCTATATGACATTCCATTTACTTAGAAAGTTTATTAAAACTTGCTGCTAAGACTGTCGATCATTTTAAGATTACCTTTGACACTTTGACATATATAATTTACGTCATAATTCAAGTTACTTTATTCCTATATATTAACCTGTGACCCAACACTGTACACCTATCAAAGAACAATTGACTTACGACACGCCCTATATTACGATAGACTAATAAGGAAATACCATATTTAAAAGATCTTTAGAAGAAAAATTACTTTTCTAAAAATTAGTCCATGGACTGGTATAAATTTTTACTTAAAATTATTTTTGTTTTTGGTGTGAGCTTTGTTTAATTAACTTAGCCAAGCTTGAATGGTTGTCACTATTAGGCACGTATGTAGAATTTTTCCGCCTGATCAGTCAGATTCAGTCTGCGCAGGAGTTTATTTACCTGCATTACAGCGCCATGGCAATCCCAGCATTATTATACTACTTTTATATATTATCATTATTTTATATCGCGTTTAAAACGTAAAACTGCCAACGTACGCTTGCTTTGTGTTACACGATTTTTGTCGTGTAGTGAATTTATTGAGTGTAATTAATATATGACACTTGCTCATTTTAATGTTCAATGATGTCTCTTGACTAAACCATCATTGAACATTACGATCTAGCCTACCTAATAAGTAATTTAAATCTAACCAAATTTACTAAGATATATAACATGAGAAAATTATCAATAACACTACTTACAGTCTCTCTTAAGGAAACTCTGTACCCTAACATATCACTTAGCACATATAGTTTTGGCCTTTACAATCTACTAAGCCCGTGGTGTCAAGAACTTGGATAGCCTCGACAATAACCTGATGATGATCCTTATTCCTCCAGCTTTTAGTTATTCTTGTGACGTCCTCTACATTAGGTCCCAATGGAAGTCATTATACATATACCAGGGAGGATTGACTGGAGTCCCGGAGCACTTTAATTTGAAATTATTGGGTTATTTGATGTAGCCGTTACACGTATAGCAATACCTGGCATCAAAGTTGTAAAAAAATATTTTAGTTCGTACTAAAATGTTAAACATTTTGAAAATCCAGGACAGAAGGCAAGTATATATACATAGAAAAGAGATTCCTGCTCATCTTTTTTCATGAGTATGAGATTAGATTTCATAAATTAATTCAGATATATTCCACTGTGTGTAAACTAAGCAAGACATTATTTGACAGATTTTAGGTTAAAAGTTTTTACGCTTACGCTCAATTACACAAGGTGACAGCGCGAGACATTAGAAAACTAATAAATTACTAACAGAATGGGTATTAAGAAATGTTATGTAAATCATACTAAAATTGTCTATATTTACACACCTTACGTTTTGGATGTGCTTACTTATAATCTAATTAGGAATTGCTAAAATTATTATGAAATATCGTTGGAGGTTAAAATGTTTTAATAAATGATTAATTAAGTTTCATTAAATCCAGATATTTATTTATTATGTTTAAATTATTCAACTTCAACTTAATTTAAGCAAACCTATCCTAACTTGTAAAAAAAAGGATTTTTTAATGGGACGACGTTAAGTGTTAAGTGCTTACCGCCGCCCATTGACATCGCATCACCAGGAGGTTGGCAAGTACGTTGCCGGTCTTTAAGCTAGTGGTATGCTCATGAAGGCCCCTTAGGTCGTAACAGAATATGAAACTGAAGAAACAGAAATATGTGAAATGGCAGCTGGTTCCTTAATCTGGACAATTTTACTAGTAATAGTGTATCTAACTTCCGAAAGTTTAATAAAATACTACACTCCCAATTTAACAAAGAACGTTAGATTACATGAAATGCAGCCCTACGTACAACTAAAACTCGCCATAACTTATGACGAAAGCCATAAAACGCTCTCACTTATACTTTGCACCTCCATTAACATATAAAATGTCCAAGTCGCATTATCTTTTTATACAGTTATGATATGTGTAACCATTTGTTTTTATGATTTCACATCAATTTCCTGCTTCATCATTAGTTGGCACTGATGTCTTTATTTGGTTATATCAACTTTCATAGTGGCCAAGTTTCGTTATTTGGTAGGTCATAATACGGTAAGGTGACGTTTCTTTCCGCCGTCTTTAGACTTAGATCTTTTAAGCTGTGTAATTTAGTTTAGAGAGATTCACTAGAATTGATCAATCAATTGCCTAAGTATTACAGTAGTAAATATAGAAAGGATGCCCGTGAGATCTGATAGAATACTACTAACGCTAGAACTCCATGGGTCTTCTTACTGCGCCCATGCATCCATCCGAGGCTGATTAGCGTAGCTGGTGTTGATTGGGCTGTATGTCGGATTGGGTTGAATGCCTTGGCGGATGCCCGAGTGCCGAACTTAAGGGCGTGTGGAAAGCTGAAGTCTTTTAGTGGGTCTCGCTTCCCTTCTGAATAGCAGAGGGCTTTGAGTGCAGACCCAGCCCCACAGTCCCCACGTCCAGCTCCATGGCAAGTCCCTGCGTAAGCGCATGGGGCACGGGCGATGCGTATTGCTATCCCGGAAGTGCGAAACATTTTTGCAATGATTTTTCTTTTGCATACGTGTCAAGCGTTTAAATGATTTTCTAACCTCGTTGTTTATTTATGGCATGAATATCAGATTGCATGCAAGTCTCGTGCAGTGGCGATTGAGATGGATCAAATTGGTCATTGTTTACGTAATAAAAGCTTGTATCGCGACATCTCCGCTTCACTCATCATCACGTAACACTAGAAAGTGCACCTGATTCACTTGCATTAGTATTCCGCTTTTTTAGAACAAGTATTATTGAGTGAGCAGTTTTGGCCTAGTGGCTTCAGCGTGCGACTCTCATACCTGAGGTCGTTGGTTCGATTCCCGGCTGTGAATTTAACATTTGCTCGAACGATGAAGGAAATCATCGTGAGGAAAACGCAAAGAGTCGACGGCGTGTGTCAGGCACTGGAGGCTGATCAACAACTTGCCTATTAGATTTAAAAATGATCATGAAACAGATTCAGAAATCTGAGGCCAAGACCTAAGAGATTGTAGCGCCATTGATTTATATATTGTTTTAATATTGACTAGCGCATCATGAATGACGTTCCCGATCGTTGCCTGCATATGGTAGGGGAGCCCAATAAATGGGGATTTCTCGAGCGTCTAGGCCTATTAGGATAAAAGCTTAGATAAAAAGAAGAAAAAAATGTTATATGATAAATTCCTTTTCATGGTGGGGGAAGCGGCTATAGATAGTTAAATATGTAAAAAAATGTTGCATGGACATCCTCGAGCGCGTCAGATATTGATAGCATCTAGCCCTACGTATTTTTAATAATGTACGTATGTTAATCTGATCTTTGCATGATGCGGGTGGTTGTATTTAAGGGTTGAAAATTAAAAAAACAAATTTATCGAGCGCGTCAGATTTTCTAAGGGAGTGTTAAGTGCACCAAAAAAATCTCTCATTCACTAATCTGACGATTTCGATGGGACGCAAACCCACAGCCATTTTCTTAATTTGCAAAAAAAACGCAATTTTGAAATACTCAAGCGCGTCAGATTAAGATATATGTGGTTCATCTTTATGTTCTAAACGTACTGTCTCATAATCTGACGATTATCTAGAGGGATTCGCCTGATCTGACAAAAAAAAATAGAAAAACGGTTCACCTAAAGGGCCATCCCTGCAACTTCCCGCTAATTCCATTCCTGGGCGCTTAAAATTGATATTTTAAGCTCGCTGGTTCAAAGAAATAACATTTCTATGCATTTGAGCTCTCCCAGCTCGAAAGTCTGATAGAAGTTTCATAGAACACTATTTTTGGAATTTTCAAACCGCAATAACTTTTGAATGGATCAAGCAATTTTCACGCGGTTGGCGGCATTCGACGCAGTTTTATCATTCTCATAAGTAATTTTGCAATTTTAATTGATCGAACCACAAATTTCGGAGTAATCCCGAAAAAACACCTTTTCGGGTTTCTTTCATGTACGATATCTCTCGAACGATCAACCGCTTTTGACCAGCTTGGTGGCGATCGACGTGGTTTTTCAAGCTCAAAGGCGGATTAGTTTTTGAAGTTGATCGATAAAGAAACCACTTTAAAAAAATATTTCTTATTTTTTTAAGATTTTTCAAAATTTCTCAAAATCTATCGGTCCGAATCGGTTCAAATTCACAGGAAATGTAATTTTGAGGGAAATATTTTGAACGCCGTTTAGTAGATTCCGATCGGTTTAAGGAAATGTGGCATCACGCAGCTGCACGCTTAACTTTATCGACGAATTTTTGTTATTTCGGCTTGCGGAAATCGTCAGATTATATATTTTTCATTATTCTGGAATTATTTCCTTCAAAATAAAAGAAAATTAGCTACGCTCGAGAATGTCGAGATGACGTTTTTTTTACAACTTTGTTGCCCCCCCCTTTTTTCCGTCACTCTCAAATTGTCAGATTAGTGGAATATACCTTTTAGGATGTAATTAACTCACCCTACCTTAATCTGACGCGCTCGGGAATTTCTGATGGTCAATTTTTTTACTAATCTGATCCTGTCTCCTTCACGCGCGGCCTTATATATGGGCCTCATATTTTGTGGAGGTACTTAACCGGGTACAAGGTATCCCCCTATATAGTAATCTGCCGCGCTTTAGTAAATCCCGAAATCCCCTCTTGGGCTCCCCTACCAATAGAAGTTGCCACGGTGATTTGATGCGGAGAAGTCATTATAAAGTCTTTTCTTAAAAGCACAGGCGTGAATTTCCTTCACCGCGCCCAAGTCTTATTTACATACTATTATACAATTATTTTTTAGACGTTTTGCGTCATCATCAATACTTGTTGCAGCTCATAATGATGGGCAAAATTCCAGGCAAAAGACGGGCTGGTAGAAGTCGTGATTGCGGAACGTGGGGGAGTGGAGCGGCATTATTTACGGTTTAGACTAGCGCAAGATACCCTAGGCAATTCAAGTTGTTAACAGCCAACCTTTATTAATAAAGTGGCACCTGAAGAGTGAAGAAGAAGACTGCACCTATTTAATTAGTGTGTGAAACGCAAAAGTATTGTAGTAATGACCAAATATAAAACATTTACACCTCCCGACACGTTGTTCCACCCTCTGTTTTGAAGACAAGGAAAATATACTCGCGATATGAAATGAACGAACTAACACGCTATATTTGATCAGCTTAGTCTAAAGTACACACAATTTTACTACTTCCATTTTCTATTCAATATAATTATCAAATATACGTTGTATAGATGCATATTATTCTATTAATGATTTTCTGTTTATATAATAGTAGGCAAACGGGCAGGAGGCTCACCTGATGTTAAGTGATACCACCGTAAAAGGACACATTACCAGAAAGCTCGCAATTGCGTTGCTGGCTTTTTGAGAATTGTTACGCTCTTTTCTTGAAGGACCCTAAGTCGAATTGGTTCGGAAATACTTCAGTGAATGAAACATTATATTAATTTGATAATGTAATAATATATTTTAATAATGTTATGATGTAGTCTTAAAATAATATAAAAATTGACTATGATTTTCTGATTGGTAATGTAATTTAATATGTAACTAGAACATAACATAATACATAAATTCTACCATTTGATTAAGTAAGACAAATTTGCAATATGTGTGGCAGAAAATGCAAAGTTTAGTACCACTATCTTATTTTTGTACCATATTCTGGAAAATAAATCATTATTACGTTCATTTCTAAAGCACATAGATCTTTAGATTAGAGCGAAGAAGTATCACTTTCATATGTCAAATGTTTAATAGACAAGAGACGAGAGACGAGAGACTCATTTCGTGATAATATGTGTGTATCTTACCCTCAAACATGCTTAGACTGTGGTCTCTAATTAGTCTTAGACTCGTTTAGTATATTGCGTCACTATCCCTCCTTTGTCTACTAATTAACATTAGCACACATTACCAAATCATCCAAAGCATTTTAATAAACTAAAATTAAGAAAAAAAATTAATATTCAAATTAAATACAGAGTGGACAAGTCTATTACCGCGGATGTATTAACATAATTTATTTCGGAACTGTGCCCAAATACAAAGGATTGCGTCTTGCATATAAATACATCTAATATATTATGTAATAAGGAAATAATAGTCGGTCAACCTGGCTATAAAATTACCAAATTTGTTGCAATATGCAATCTTATACGATATAAACAATTTAAGTACGAACAATAAGTTCGTATCGGTTAACATAAATTAGCGATCATGTGTGTCCCTCTGAAAGAAATAATTTTGAGAACGGTATTTCCATTTCCTCATACAAACGCTATGAGTCAAACGGAATTATACTAAATTTTAAATAAGAATAACGATTTCTTTGTAATATGAAGTTAAATGTAAAAATATCAATATTTAGTATGAAATACGTTTACAGTTGGGGGAATATATCCTTCAATATTTCGTAAAAAACCTCACACATTGTATGACGTGTCTATGAGTGCGGTCACGGGGAATTACAACACGATGACGAAAATTTTACGGATTTTGCATAGTCCTGCTAATGATGCTAATTTAAAGAACCAAGTTTTCACAAACCGATTGAAGATAGTTCAAATCAATAATATGAGTTAGGAATAGTATTTCCAAAACAATACTATCTGAGGACCTTAACGCCTTTTGAGTGGTTTTTCTCTACAACCGACGTTCTCTATAACTAACTCGAAGACACCTTTCCATATCTCGGACCCTCAAACTGGGTGAACACTATCACTACAGGGATACTTCTAGCATAGCCACATTGCGATGTTCTCCATGGCATGGCCATCTAGAAAAATCAAAGCTATAATACAAAATAATAATTTTAACGCATATTAATAAAATTAGTATGTTTATTATGTAATTTTTTTAACAGCAGTTGTGTTCAGCAAAAACAAACTAATAGAAAACTAGTAGTAACCCGAAACGAAGCGTTATATAAAATATGCAATGATTCGCCTCTTAAAGAATTTTTACTATAATCGCGTTAATCAAAAACAAAGTTATTACTATTCTTACCAAATATATATATTTAAACTATAACTTATATACCTTGGCCTACTTTAATCCAACTTTCTTATAAAGCTGATATGTCATTAAGATACCTATTTTCTTTCCTTTTCAAAGTAAGTATTAAAACAAATAATTCGATTCTTGGAGTTTTATAAACAAAGAGTAACATGATTGTGATCAAACCCTTCATTCTTTCAAATGGGATTTTAAATTCAGACGGAAAGTAATGAATTAAACAAGCCTTAATTATATATTAAGGCTATAATATTTAAATTATTTGACAAATATGTCAAGTATTCATTCAGAATTCTACATACAACCATCTATGGGTGGCCTATGGTTGCAGTGATCACTAAGACTGTCAGACTGAATTTTCTAAGCAAAAGTTATAGGACAGAAAAACCATTGGGGCGGTCTCGAACACATGACCTAATAATAATAATATTAGTCTTGAACCATAAGGCCTAAAACTATTCGTAATGGGTTATAAATGTCAACTGTCAATCTTCAAGTCTCTA